ATGCATACAAGTATCAGCCAGTTCTATCTGTACCCCACTCTTGGGGGAGTGACTGCTCTGAAGTTGGCTTAAGGGCCGCTGAGCCTACATGTCTATCAAGTAAAGCCCCTAGAGCTCAGAAAAAAGTGTTCCTTTCCTTTTGCTGCCCTTCCAAAGTCCTCTTCCCCTCCCCCTCCCTAGAAAGAATGTGGATTCAAGTGCTCAGGGGGAAGTCAGGTCCAGGCCCCTCTGAGAATACAACAGCACTTGTGTCTGAGGTTTGGGCAGAAGCCAGGGTGGAAATGTCCCAGCTTCTGAGGGTGCAGAGAAGAGCCAGGGTTTTTGCCCTTTGCAAAGGCCAAGCTCTTGCTGGGGCAAGATGGGGATGGAGTAGCTGCAGAGCCAGGCCCAGGAGCCCACAGGTGGGAAGGAGTATTTGGAGGCTTTGTTCTGTATTGATGGAAGAAAGTTGCAAGATTCCAGAGGCTGGTCGGGCAGAGGGTGTGGCTGGAAGCCATATACTGGGGAGGCCCAGAAATACCTGCCCCTATTTGTCAGTGGGCTGAAAATTTGCTCAACATCTTGCCCTGTATGTCCAAGGCCTGCGCCAGAGTAGCAGGCAGTATGACAGAATGAGATGTGCTTGGCAAAGTCAAAAGACCCTCGGCCTGGTTCTGCCTCTAGATAGGTCTGTTGCTATGCAAGTTATTTCTCCATCTGCAAAGCCCTTTCTTTTAATGTGAAGTGAGGACTTTAGAACCTTCAGACCCAACCTCACAGAAAAAACAGGCATACTGAAACTCCAAGAGAAAATAACTGAAGCAGGGACCGGCTGAGAGACGTGTATACCACATGCACAGCGGCATTATTCACAGTAGAATAATGGTGGAAATAGCCCAACCGTCCATTTCTGAATAAACAGGTAAGCAAAATGTGGTATGTACATATGGCAGGACATTATTCAGCCTTAAAAAGGAAGGAAATTCTGACACTGTTACCACATGCATGAACCTTGACGGCATGGTACTGAGTTAGATGGGCCAGTCAAAAAAGGCCAGGTATTGCGTGACTCCACTGAAATGAGGTACTAGGTTAGTCAATTTATAGAGTTGGGAAGTAGAATGGTGGTAGCAGGGGCTGCAGAGGTGGGGAAAAGAAGACTTAGTGTTTAATAGTGTGCACTTTCAACTGGGGAAGAAGAATATGTTATGGAAATGGATGGTGTTGGGGTTTGCAGAACAAGAACAATGGATACCCCAAGATTGTACGCTTAAGATGTTAAGATGAAAAAATGTACGTTACATATATTTTACCACAATAAAAAAAAAAATACAAAACACCAGGACTCTGACAAAGGCTTGAGTCTTCCATACTGGGGTAAAGTAAGTCACATGACTGAAAGGTGACTTCAGAGCCAGAGACCATAAGAGAGGTTCTGATAGTTGGAGATGGGGGAACTGATGGAAACCCACAACAGAGTGGTGGGCCACACTGTGAAGAAGAGGATGTTGCCAGAGCTGGGCCTTAACAGTCGAAGGTGAGATGAAGGCACCCAACCCTTGCAGGTCTGCAGGTAGTACAGAATCTGGCCACTGGCCCCTGTCAGGTCAGCTGTCTCCTCCTAGCACTTAGGTTCTGAGAGGACAAGGGTAATGAGGCCCCTTGAAAGAAAACAAGAAACAGGTTTGCACATACGTGTGAGATCCTCAGTGTGGGAAACAGAGGTTTCCTGAGGAAGCTTATGAATCTCTGATCTGAAATTTAGATCAGAGCAAGTACCTGACCCTCTGAAGGACTTTGGGTAGGCATAGGAAGGGTAGATGAGTGCCTGGATCCTGATCATCCAGGCAAATCGATTCCCTTTTCCTGGGTTCCAATTCCATTTTTCCTGGGTTCCAATTCCCATTTCCAGAGACGCAGGGATCAGCCAGGGGAGCTGGAAGGGGATCTTTCTAGGCAATCAGACAGAACATAGGACACAAAGGAGAGTTCAGGACATTGCTAGCTGTAGGAATTTCTCTGTGCTGTTTTCTCCACTCACAAAATGGAGAGATCAACAGTATTCACCACAACAGAAAGCCTAAGAAACACTATCCACCAACTCAATTTAACTGGCATTCATTGAACTTTCCACCCAAAAACAGCAGAATACATGTTCTTTTCATGTGTGTGTGCAACATCTACTAAGACAATATATCCTGTTCCACAAAATAAGCCTTGATAAGTTTTAAAGAATTCATATAAAATATGTTCTCTGACAAAATGAAATTAAAATAGAAAGCAATATCTCTGGAAAATTCCTAAATATTTGGAACCAAGGGGTCAAAGAAGAAATCAAAAATGAAATTAAAAAGTATTTTAAACCAAATGAAAACATGACATTTAATATTTACAGACTACAGCTAAACAAACTCTTAAAAAGAAGAAATGTTCAAATCAATGACATCAACTTCTATTCAAGAAAGTAGAAAAATAAAGAAAAGTAAATCCAAAGTAGACTGACAAGAGAAAAAAAAAGTGGAAATCAGTAGAACCAAATGAAAAAAACCAATGGGTTCAAAATCTGGTTCTTTGAGAAAATCAATGCTATTGATAAATCTCTAGCTAACCTGATAAAGAGAAGAAACAAAGGAATGAAAACGTTAGGATCACTGCAGATTTTACAGATTTAAGTTATACTTCTAAAAGAAATAAAGTTAACAACATCATGCCAATAAATTCGATAACTTAGACAAATCGAACATTTCTAAAAGACATAAACTAGCCAAGTTCACTAAAAAAGAAGTGGATAACCTAAATAGCCCTATATCTATTATAGCTAAAAATCTTCCCACAAGAAATACTACAGGCCCAGGTGAGCCTCAGTTTACTAAACTGAGGGGAAAAAATAAACACTTAGGAAAAAATAATACCAATTTTGTTCACTCTCTTCCAGAAAACTGAAGATAAGGACATACTTCTCTATTCATTCTATAAGGCCAGAATTATGCAGACATTACAAGCTAACCACAAGAAGTTCTCTTAGGAATATAGCCACCAAAATTCTAAACAAAATTTTAGAAAATCAAAGCCAACAAAATATAAAAGAAGAACACATCATCACCAAGTGGAGTTCATCCAGAGCTACAATATTGGTTTAACATTAGAAAAAGTAATCAATAGAATTTACCATAATAACAAACTAAAGAAGAAAAACCATGATTCCATTAGACACACAAAAAAAGCACTTAAGAAAGCCTAATATCCATTCCTGTGAAAAACTCTGAGAAATTAGGAATAAAATAAACTTCCTCAACCTAAAGTGAATTAGTTAAAAAAAAAAAACAAAACCCTATAGCTAACACCATACTTAATGTTGAAAGACTTAATGCTTTCTCCATAAGATAAAAAAAAAAAGGAAAAGTATGTATATATTTATTCAGTGAAATAAAGCAACAAAAAGAAATAGGTCATCCAGGTTGAAAAGGGAAAAGAAAATGATTTACTTATAGACATTATCATCTATGCAGATAATCCCACAGAATTTACAAAAGTCATTAAAATTCAGATTGAGTTTAGCAGGATTGCAGGTTATAAGATTAATACACAAAATTCTGTTGCATCTTTATATATTTGGAATAAATAATTAAAACTGAAGTAAAAATATAATTTATAATATAGACACAGGTATCAGTATGACAAAATATGAAAAAGACCTATGTACTAAAAAAATATAAAATTGAGCCCTCCCTGCTGGTGCAGCAGGTTAGAGCACAGCACTAAGAAGCTAAAGCCACTTCAGCATGAGTTTGATCCCCACCCTGGAGGTGACCCACATGGCATGGCAGTATATTTCGTCAGTGGACTTGTTCTGCTTCCCATTCTGTCTCTGGTGAATCCTCTCACTGCCCCTGCACCTCTGGCCTGTACCCCAGTTCTGTCTGCATAAATAAGTAAATTTTTAAAAAATATATAAATCAAAGAAATACAGTATTTACACACCTAATTTTCATCAAAGGTATAATGCAATTCAGTGGAAAAAGGACAAGTTTTCAACAAACAGCTCTGGAACAATTTCATATCCATATAAAAAAAATTAAACCTTGTCCATACCTCACATTATACACAAAAATTAACTCTGCATAGATCATAAGCCTAAATATAAAACTCCAAACTATTAAGCTTCTAGGAGAAAACTTTTGACACCTTGTGTTAAGCAAAGATTGCTTTGATACAATCCATAAAACAACAAATTGATAAACTGGATTCCATCAAAATTAAAAACTCTGAACTTGGAAAGATGCTATTTATAGAGAATGAAAAACTGACCACAGACTAGGAGAAACTATTTGCAAATCACATCAGTGGTTTTTAATACCCCAGTGATTTTTTACAGTTCCCTCCTAAAATGACATTCTATAGCTAATAGCTCTTTGTTTGAGAGACTAAGATAGTATAAGGTAATAATCAGTATGAATCTAACGAGAGCTTTGGCTCTCTAACCTCAGCATCACCTGGAGTGTTTGTTAAAACACTGACTGCTGGGCTCCACCTCAGCACTCCTGACTTGGCAGGGTCTGAGAGCTGGCAGTTCTGGGTGATGTTGCTGGGGCTGGCCTACCTACATTTTGAAAACTGCTATTCTAGACCAATTTAGATTAAACCAGAAACAATGTCAGATGAAAGATTCACCCCTCCCACAATTACCATGAAAATTATGCTTATTAAAAAATAATATACCCTGCTTTTAAAAATTCATTGGGGACATCTGTAAATGCTCATCAGAACTTCTGATCAAAAGGAAATAAGCATGACATTACTGAGCTGGCATGAGCCTTGCCTGGGCTTTTTTATTGAATACACATTTTGGTTTCCATAAGGCTGTTCAAAATTCCCCCTAGAAGCCATACACAGGCTTATGCCAACTGTCCCATAATAGTAATGTGGAAGAAAGCTCCACATGCCTTCCCCAAGGTTGGCCATGCCCCCTAACTCGCCCATCCTAACACCCACCCAGTGGAGGGCTGCCATGCACATCTCACCGTCCAGGATGGCCCACTGATTGTCAATCTCTGTATGCTTCAGATAGGAATCTTCAATGGTGGGGTCGTAGTCAGGCACAAAAATCTTCTGGAAGAACTGGATGGTAAGGGCACTCTTGCCCACGCCTCCATCCCCTACCACCACAAGCTTGTATGTGGGGAGGTTGTCACTAGGAACAGCACTGGTGGCCATGTTTCTGACAGGTCAGACCTGGGGAGGTAAGACATGAGGATGAAACAGGAGCCTTGTTCCTCTTCTGGTAGAGGAAAATATTCATGTGTTTTCCTGCCTCAAGTAACAAAAACTCCCAATCATAAAAAAATTTTAAAGTAGAGAATCACAAAATGAAATGTCACCAGAGACAAACCCACCACCAGAGACAATCATGGTTAAAATGTTTTTTTAATCATTTATTGACTACCAATGATGTGCCAGGGGTCAAGGTATTAGATGCTACATTGTCTTTAACATGTGTAGCCAAAAGTCATGTCAGAGGAGCTTTTCTGCCACTATACTCTGCCCTGTTCCTTTGGAACAGTAAACAGGGGTGCATTAGTATGAACAGGATGGAATGGAGGTTCCCCATTCACATCAACGGTGACCAGTTGGGACTGCAGTGCTGAGGGCTGACTGAACTCACCTCTCAAAATTATGGGATCCGGAATCCCTTTCCCTGGTCTCCTTGTGCTTTAGCATGGACAAAGTGGGGCTAGACTATTGGCATCTGGTCAACCCACTTTAATTGGACAGAAGTGGGGCTAAGTGTTTTTTTATTGTTATTGTTAGTTACCTATATATTTTTTTAAATTTAATTATTATATCATTTATTTTTTTACATCTTTATTCATTTTGTGCATTTTTTCATCTCAGTTGTAATCCCCATGGGCTTCCCACCACCAGCTCACCTATGCGCCATCACCACAGCCCAGTGCACTTATTCCACCCCAGTTCCCATCCCATTCCCCGGGGGGCTAAGTTTTGTTTTGGTTGATGAGTGAGTCCAGCTAAGGCAGTCAATCTCAGCTGATGGCAGTTTTTCCCTTCCAGGGATATCTGGAGATTTTTTTGGTTTCGAAACCAAGTAGGTGCTAATATGGCATCTTGTCTGAAGGCAGGGATGCTACTAAACATACTGTAATACACAGGACAGCCCCCACAGCAAAGAACTCTCCATCTGAAATGTCAACAGTGATGAGGTTGAGAAACCTTGAGCTAAAATGATGGGAAGGGGGTGATTACTAGAAATGTGGGGATAGGATTCTAAAAGACTAGTCCTTAACAGATAAGGACTGAGTGTGAGGAGGTGATAGCAGACAAGTGAAGTGACCTTTGAAAATGGTGGAGGAAGACAGGCATGCAGGTAGCCTGGAAGAGGCAATCAGAAACATGGAAAGGAAGCCAGGATCTGTCACAATGAGCCCATCGTTTCCAGAAGGAGGAAGAGGCTGACAGAACCAAGTGTTTTACACTTTGGGGAGGGTGTCACCTAAAAACAATATAAGGTAGTTGCCAGACTTCAGCTCCTAACTGTGAACCCTGCCAAGGAGAAGCAACTTCCGGTAGGCCATCCTGGCTGGTCTGAAAGCTGAGCCGAGACAAAAGAGTGAAAGCTTGATTCTCCTTCAGTGCAGGAGAAAAGAAAAGAACCCCAGTGTTTGTACAACAAAAACATTTAAAGGATGGGGTGCAGGCAGCAGGGAGGATAAGGGACAGGTGTCTTGTGTCCATCGCTGCTGCTTGGGAGGGTCACTCACCTACCTGCCCTGAGTTTCCTCACTCTCACATTAAAGGGCTGAGTTAAAATTATTCCTAGTTCTAAAGGAACCTTCAGTTCTAGATTTCAACAGATTTCAACAGCAAGCATGTTAGACACAAGTGTGGGTTATGTGGCCATACGATCTGCTCGGGGCGCAGGTGCATCGTTGCATAATCTCCTGCAGTTTCTGCAGCCTGATGTTGCCATTGAGGGTTTCCCTGTGATGAGGGGAAGTGGGTGCTTTCATGACTGTGGGTGAGAGTGTAAATCTGTCCAAACTGGACCGGGAACACACTTGTGCCAACAAGCCAAAATTTAAGGTAGATATGCCCTCCCTCGCAGTTATGCCACAGGTGAGGATTTTTTCCTAAGGAGTTAATTGAAAATGTACAAAGATGTCAAGAAAGGGGGCAAATGGAATAACTTTAATGGTAGGATAAAGAGATTAAAGAAAAAGTTTACCCATACAATGCACTAACTATGCCACCATTGAAAAGTTAGAAAATGTTCATGTTGTTATGAAAAAGACCCAAAAAAAGGCGATCAAGTAAGAAGAACACCACTGTACGCATGCCCAGATACTGCCCAGTGCTGGACACCCCTGCAGACATACCCAGGCAGAGAGGGGTCCACAGGTAGTTGTCTCTGAGGCAAGCTTCGAGGCCCTTCTTCAAGTTTTCAATTTTCGATATCAAGTTTACATTAAAAATATTAAAACCCTCCCAACAAATATAGGTAACTCAAGCAAAGAATCAGGAAAAAGAGAAAACTAGTAGGCAAGCCATAGATCTGAAGCATACAACAGGAGAGGGAAGAGCAGAAGGGACTGTGGTGGTGGTGCTCAGGGGTTCTCAGGGACTATACCTGCAGAGGAAAAATAAAATATTGTACAGGGCCCTCCCTGGTGGTGCAACAGGTTAACCACAGCACTATGAAGCTATCCATAGCCACTACAGCACGAGTTCCATCCCCAGCCGGACAGCTGACCCACATGGTGCAGCAGACCTCTCCTGTCTTGTCTGCTGCTCCCCTCAGCAGTGTATTTCAGTAGATCTGCCCGTTCTGCTCCCCACTCTTGTCTTCGGTGAATCCTCTCACCCTCTGCAACTCTGGCCTGTACCCCAGATCTTGTATGCATAAATAAATATTTAAAAAAATAAAATATTGTACAAAAATGAACAAGGAAGAAAATTTTAATAAATATAAAAATACTGATTAAATGAAGGAAAAAAAAAAAAAACTCCTCCCAACAAAAAATGTCCCAGCTAACTGAGAAAGTGCTATTTCCTCTCTTCTGAGTTGGGATTGAAGTTCCTTTGGTGTACGATAGAAGGACCAGGCACCAGCTGCAGCCCCAACATCTTGTTCCCCTCTCTCTGTGCAAAGATGGGCACTTGCTGAGGCGCCTATAAACTGAGCTCTCCTATCTAGCACATGCTGTGGCCCAAAGGGGAGGAGAGACATTAGAGGGAAACAGAAATGGGCAGAGGAAGGCAGGGGCCTGCTCTCTTTTGCCTCTTAGGTCAGGGAGCAGCTGTCAGACCCTCACTGCCCCTCCTTAACTCTGTCCTGTCCTGGGAATGGACAGTGATGCCAGACCTGGTGAAAGTCCTGACTTAGAGATTGTTTTTAAAGCTCCCTTCCATTCTCTGCAGGCAGCAGCATAAAAAAATAAATATATAAAAAATCACCAAGCGGGTACCAGGAAGGGAAATCATTTATTTTTATTTTCTTCTCAAAATAAAGCAAGAAATCCACTCACAAATCTGACAGAGGACATGAACCGAACCTGAGTCAGCACTCAGAACACCCACTGCAGCATCACCTGGGGACTTGCGAAACTCGCCCTCTGCTTGCCAAGTAAAGCAGCTGGCAGGAAATGGTCTGTTGAGGGTCCTTTCCTTTAACTGAGCACTCTTGCATTGAGTGTGGGAGCCCCAAGAGGCCCAGGAAGCCAACTCAGGGTTCCCAACCAACTCAGATTCAAAAGAATAGGGGTAGAATGCACAGTAAATGTAAAAAATCAGACTGGGTCACTCATAAGACTAAGGGATGCCGCCCCCGCTGCCGGTTCCTTCACTGGACAGGTTCAGCTCAAGGCCTGAACTGCCACCACTGATCTCTCAGCAGAATCCACGCTGCAGTCTCATCTCTCCTCAGACCGGACTGGTGTTTCCTGTGGTCACTCTGAGTCCACGCACACCCTAGGACACAGGGAGAACACACACCTCCACACAGGTCAGACCTCCTTCAGAATCTCCTTCTATGGGACACACCACAGCTACCCTGTACTTGGAGGCCTACTTGTTGGGTCTCTCTGTCTCACCAAAGCCTGGCACAGCAAGAAGCAGAAGCCTTGCTGAGGGAACCGGCACCTCCACACTGGCATTCGTGCAAAACTACCAGACAACCTACTGGCCTCTGTGCTGGTCTCTCCCTGAAGGTCTAAGGATGACCTTTTCAGCTGGGGACTGAGACCCACTCCCTTCCTCTATCAAGTCAGACCAAATGTACAGAGATATCCTTCTGAAAGTGAGCCCATCTAAGCCAGAGAATGAGCCCAGAAGCAACCCCTCCCCCTATTCATAAAAAGGTGGTCTCTTCTCCAAATGGGCAGGTTTTCTAGTTTTCAACCTGCCCCAAACAATGATGTCTTTGGTAACAATGTCAGGGCGTGCACACACTCCTACCAAATAGGCTGCCCTCACCTCACCGCAGTATAGAGAAAGACGTTTTAAAGACACCACTGGCTATGATGAAACTCACCACCACATAAAACGTTAGTTGGTGGCTAAGGGGCAAACTACTCACGTTTACATTGTCTCTCCTCTCCAGCCTGCTCATCTAGAAGCTACCTTAGACACCATTCTAGAATGGCGGTGCTTCACCAGTGAGGGTCTGCGTGGTCCCTTTGAGGCGGGAAGTAATCAAAAGTGAACCCAAGGTCTTTCTTCAAAGTTACCTACCGATTTTCTGTGCCAGATAACTTTCCTATGGACCAAGAGCTAAGCCAACTTGGAGGAGTGACTGTATAGTATACTCAGTTTCTTATTTGTTAGATGGAGTTGGTTAGAGAATCCTAATTTGCAAGATCTAAGAGTGGAATTAAAATGTATAAAATGTGCCCAGTTTGGGAAGGTTCTCAAATATTTGTTGTCCCCACTTGCTTTATTTTGTTCTCAAGAGAGGGGGGAGCGCACCCACACAGTGGCCTCCTGCCAGTCCCCGTCCCCTCCCCCTCCTCTGTTGAATGCCCACTCCTACCTCCATGGCAGTCAGGTTAAATAGGCCTGTGTGGGAGATCACCCATCACTGAGAACATTGTTTCCAAGGGAAACAACACTGAGCTTCCAGGCAGCCCTCTCCACTCAGAAACCAACTTTTGGAACAGCAGCCACTTGGCAGTGGAGGAGGTCTGTGTGGTTCCCATGGTAACCCAAGCTCCCAGAGCCTCTCCCAGTCTATGGGCAACTCAAACCTCCTCAACTGGAAACTTCTTCCTAAAAGGTGATAATCGCTGCCATGACAATTTTAATAATATATACAGATTCATTCCTTCAGCAGCTCAGAAGTTCTACGAGAACAAGAGCTGATGACCTTCATTCCCTGCCCTCTCATATGGCCAGGCTGGGCCCAGCGCAGGGCAGGCTCACGGTCTACTGCTTACTGACTCCTCAGAACTGTCCTATGTGGGGTGCTACCACCCAGCACTCCATGTGCTAACAAGGGGTGATGTCCACTCCTGACAGAGGCAGCTTCTAGGAGGTGGACCATTGACCCCAAAATAACCTTTCAACCAGCTATTTCACAATGTGATTAGGGCAATCTGAGATCTCCTGGAAATAGTCTTGAACACCCCACCCTCACTTCTCAGGTTGTGGAGGAAGGTGTGTGTTGGGGGGGTGAGGGAGAAGTGTCAATGACAGCCTCCAACTCTGCAATCATGTCGCCTAAATTCCACTCATATCTCCAGTATGGACTCCTTGTGTGACTGGGGCAAACTTCTTAATTTCCAGGGACTTCAGCTTCCCCATATATAAAACAGAACAGGAACAGGACACTCAGGAATGTGTAAGGCCTGGTGAAAAAAGCAGGAGTGCCCTCAGTAACAGCCTCTGTGCACTGAGAGGCTAAGTAGATGGGCCCCTGGCATCTTGACCCCAGTAGTTTGAACCCTGCCTAACGTACGACCCTAAGAGCATTGAATCCTAAGAGTGAGAGCTACCAAGAGACCCAACACAGTGACGACTATGACTGGCTATCTAGACAGCAGGGGGTCCCAGCAGCCCCCCAAATCACAGTGCCCAGTGGCTGTTATCCCTCACAAAATATGCTCCCGTCTCTGCAAGTATTCAGTTTCAGCGGCTTCTACAGAACTTGTTTCCTAAATAAATAGGCTAAAACATAGCCCATTTTCTAAGTAGGCAGACATAAAAAAAATGGCTTTAGCAACAGACATCACCCAAGGGTTCTTCGGTTCCCTGGTCTCTGCATCACCCCAGCCCCCCAGCCAGAACCACTTTCAGAACAGCATCCCATAGTCCTGGCCTAACAAGCAGGAGAGACAACAGCAGTAACGGACCCATGCTGGGGGCAGCTGCTGTGGACTGTCCCACAACAAAGGTCGCACTTGCATCCACCTTGATGCCTTGAATTCTTTTGGGAATTAGTTTTGCAGCACCACAGGGCTTTTCTTTGACTGTCATTGTGGTTCACTAACCCACAGGCATTTTTTAGCCTCTGGCTATTTCCCTGGCCCAGACTACAGGATCACAGTCTTAGGGGCTAGGGCAGTGGCTAACCCAGAGCCTCTTCCACAGTGCTGCCAGCTTTACTGAAGGTTTAGTTTTCACTGCTTTTTGCTTCTCCACTTCCATACTAGCTATTCAACAGATTCCCCCAACTCTTCCAATTAAACTAGATTATCTGGTAGTTGAGTCTTAAGGAGGGGGACACACTCACCACTAGTGGAGCCCTTGGGATAGGATATAGACTTCCAATGACACAAGCTGAGTCAGCCCTGGGAAGCAAATCTCATCTGTATGTCTGGGTGTGTTCAGCTCAGGGGGATGAAGACACACTGGGGGGAGTGGCCAAACCCATGTGGAGGAAATAGCTCTGCATTCCAAGAGCTGCCCTTCCCTTCTGCACAATTCCCAGAAATGGGCAGCTTCCCCAGGGCTGCTGATTTGCAGGCGTACAAGTGGTATGCAGCCCCACCAGGGGTCTAGGCCACTTGGCATCTTCCCTCCCCAAGATTTTGCTAAAGTAAGACCAACACGATCATTGTACCACTCAACCCCTCCGAGAAACCACCAATGTATTCGGCTCACTCCATTTTATGCTGCAAAGGACTTTAAAAATCATCAGGTTTAAAAAGTGAGGATGTGGCATCCTCACAGAGGATGGGATGGATCCCCTCCATCCCATTCCCAAAATCATGGCAGACATCACTAATCAATCATGGTCTTCTTCCTGCTCAGACTTAGAACTCTTTCCATTGCAGCACCCTTGGCAGCAGAACCAGGTGATTAGTACAAAGAGGTGACTTGTTTGCCATCCCAGATCTAATCCATTACTCTCTGGTTCCCTCCAAAACATTTTGTGGAGTAGGTAGGCATCCTATTCTGTGGGAGGAGGTCAGGGAGGGCCTTTAGGGGTAACCTACCCACTTATTTCTAAAGATAACCAATTTGGCAATATAATGAACAGGCTGCATTACCAAAATCTTCTGTCAATTTATCATCCCCTGCTTTTTTACCCTATCAAATCCAAATACATCTGCTAGGATCACACCTGGAATGCTGATAGCAGGCAGAAATGATCAGAGATCCAGTCAAAGGCCAATGGCTAAAGCCAGCCAAGTAATAGACACAATAACTTTGGGTTTACTTGTAACCCTCAAGTAACCTTCCTTCTATCACAATTGTTGACACTTGGGTCTCACCCACTAGTGTGAGAGCCTCCTGGACAGGGCCTGGAACCTAGTCACCTCTGGCCCAGCACTAATTATAATAGTGATCATGCTAATGTTAGCAATTTATTGGAGGGAGATAGAAGATTTTCCCACATTAACTTATTTAATTCTCGCGACGATCTTACGAAGTATGACTTTGACTATCCCCATTTTATAGTTGAAGAAACTAAGACACAGAGAAATTAAATAACTTCTCTAAGGTCACTCAGATAGAAACCAGTCAGCACCAGATCCGAAACCACGCTGTGTGGCTCTGGAGCCGGTAGCCAGCCCTTCCTGCTGGGTCTCTTCTTGTGACTGGCAGGAATGGTGGGTGGGTATGGAGTGATGCTAGGTCAGAGACAGCAGGTCCAGGAGCTCTGGGAAGAAGTCAGCAGTAAGGCAGAAAGGTGGTGTCAGAGGCAGATAGGCCTCCCAGAACAGAGATTGGCCCTGTGGGAAGAGCAGGTTGAGCCAATGCTAGTTCCAGCAGATAGACACAGCTCTGCATCTGCCAGAAAGGACCAGGGAGGAAGCTGGGGCACATGGTGCCCTGAGACCTTCATTTCCCTGCACCTCAGTCTAGAGTCTCTCCACTATGCTGGTCCTGGCGCTCACCCCCATCCATTCCCGTGGTCCCACATACAGGATGTTCTCTAATCAGCTCAAGGCTAGCTCCACCTGGAACCCCAGCCAAGGAGCTTCACCAATAGAGTCAGACAGCCTGCATCCTCAGGCCAGGTACTTACCTTCTGTACCCTGGCTTCCTGTTCTATAAAATGGGGATAGCAGCTGCATTGACCTGGCAGTGGTGGTAAAGTCTCCCTGTATTTGCTGGCCCAGTGTCACATAATGAGTGCGTAGTGCATAATAAATACCAGGTGTTACCATCCGTTATCAGCATCCTTTTCAAAGTCCCTCATAAGTTCCCTTCAGGCTGCCTTCCGTCTCTCTGAAGTCCTCCTGCCTGTAGGCTGGCTGGTTCCCCAGGCCAAGGTAGAACTCAGCCCCTTAAAGACATTCTCCAAGGATTCAAGGAAGCTTGTTCACTGATAGGGCATGGAAGATGCCAAGATGCTGAAACTCAGCATGAAATATGGCTTCTCGCTCTGGTCTCTAGAGTGCTCTTCATCAAAAAAAAACCAAGCCCCTCTCTGCATACCTGCTGGTATAGATATATCTTTGGAAAGAAAACACTAACAGGACCCATGGCATGAGTTTTATCTGAGCCCAGAAGAGAAAGTCCCAGGACGAGTAAACTGGATAAGCTACCAGTGCTGGCCACTCTACCTGGCCCCCATGCACACATCTGTCAAGATGAGTGAACCCTAGCCTCAGGCCTTGGGACTCACAGTGTGCGTGTATGGGCGGAGCAGACAGAGGGCTGTCCCACAGGGCTACACGTGGCGTGGAAGCAGGGAGGAGTGGAAGACATCTCATCCCACACTGTGAGAGGTGCCTGGGAAAGTCAATGCCAAAATAGAGCCTTAGAGGAGAGAAAGAGACAGACCAGAAGCTACAGAAGAGCACAGCATGGGGGTATGGAAAATAGGAGGTACCACATGCTGCAGGTAACAAGATGTGGCCAGAGTGCAGAATGTGTAAGGGGTGCAGTGAAGAAGAGGCTGGGCCGAAGGGGAACAGGCAGTTGGCTTCCTGACCACTGGGGCTCATGCCTCAGCATCTCTAGCGCTAAGCATAGTAACTGGCACACCATGGCGGCTCCATACAGTTAGGAGGAACAAGTAGTAGGATGCAGGTGCAGACAGAAGAGGACAGCGCACCCCTCAGGCCTTAAAGACCTTGCACCCTGGCACCACACAGGCCTGCAGGGGAGGGAGATGCAGGCTTCTTGGGCAGCTGCTCAATCCAAGAGGCCCACACTTCTTACACCATGAGTTTGACCAGCAGGAAATGTCCAGCAGAAATTGGCTAAACTGCACAGGACACACTTGGACCACTCCAGAAGCCTGAGGAGAGGCAGAATGGGGAAGCAGGGAGGCCACACGGATGCTGGCCATGACCAACGCCTGAAG